GAATTTATTTGTTCATTTTTAAATTTAATTTACCTCTCAAAAAGAAATTAAATAGAAAAAAACTATGATAATATACATTTGCGCGCACACATACACATCGATCTATCTATCTTTTTTTTTTGGGGGGGGCTATAAAATTCAAAATTCCAAATAAAAATACAATATTTTCTTATTCAGATGAATTATTTTGTATCCAAATTATACATATATTTTTTTATACTGAGTCTAAAAATAGCACATTTGTTCATTTTAAAACTCAAAACAGGCCCTTGGCCACCAAGGTTTGCCCACCCCTGGTACACGTATCAAAACAACTTGGGGATACATTTTAGTCATGCACACCAATGCATTTCTACTTTTACTAGAAGCCAAAAGCTGGAAAAAAAAAAGAGAGAGAATATATCATTTCCATCTTATTACCGTATCTGCTCTTTCCTCTTTTGAACGAGCTCCACCAGCGTCTGGTCAAAGTAGTCCTCGTCACGATGGATGCTGCCGGGCGTGATCTTTATCTTCTCCACGTTTTGCTTGTGCGCGGGGCTGGAGATGTGGCCGGCGTAGTCGGTCAGGCTCACCAGCGACACCTTGCACACCCGGCACTCGTGGCCGCAATCCCTGTCAGGGAGGAGAGGCGACAGAGGGCGCTCAATGCTTCCTTCGGGCATTCTGGCGGCGTTCTGATGAGCTTCTTGGATGTCTTGGGAGAGGAGAATACTCAACAATCCCTTGCTATGTTAACTTATCACCAAATTCTCTATTTGTTGCAGATCAGGAGGTAACTAACTTCAATTTTTTTTCATGTCAAAACATTAAAGGAAAAAAAATAAACAAAAACAAAAAAAAAAGATATCTTCCTGATCCATAAAGTGTGCGATTCCCTAGCGGGTCATGAATGACAAGGAAGCGGGAGCAGGCGGAAGCAGCCGGGCCCGGGCGGCGCGCTAATGGAGCTTGCCGGCCACGCAGCTCAAGGACGCTCGGCTTAGCGTTCGGTCATGATGGAGCCCGCTGCACTCTGAGAGCTCGCTCTGGCGGCTGTTTTGGTAGTATCCGAAATCTCCTTCCCACCCTCCTCCCACCACGGCCAAAGACTAATGTCCTCTTTATCTCGCTGACCAATCCCAAGCAGAGTAACCGGAGCCGGCAGCTGGTGGCCACCTTTGACTCCGAACCTCTCCCAACTGTGTCACCTTGCCCTCCTTTCTTTTTTTGTGGCTGTTCTCTCACCCCTTGAGCACTCTTCCGCTGTGGTTTGCAACTGTTGTCACCCCGGGACACACATTTTCCCCATCGGACTAAGTCGCGACCTACTTTTATACAAGTCAGGAACAAATTTTTAAAATGTGTTGGTTTGCACAACTTGCTCTTCTGCGACAAGGAGTTAAACAGCAAAATTCTTAAAATATCCTGGTTCATTTACAATTGATATTTACGCAACCTTCTCTCATCATGCTGTATTTATATTTACAATGCCGACCTGGAGGCAACTTGGAGTTCATTGTCTTGCCTAAGGCTTGAACTTTAAAAAACTGTTTGGGGAGTGTTCTAATGTTTCAGAATAACAATGAGTCCTCCAAATGGGGCATAGAATCAGAATACACGATTCCTGAGGTGGTCACACGGTTCCTGCTGGAGGTCAGTGGTCCGCGAACACAGCTGTGAATGTCCCTCACATTGTGTCCTGGGGGTTGATGTGATCTTCTCACAAGTTACTTTGATCAGAAGCCGTTAACTTAACAAAAGGATGTTAACTGAAAAGCCGAGAGCGGGACCCTTTTGGTCACACCTCGATTGTCAAACCCCCAATCCTATCGTAAGTGAAATTTCTGCAGAGTCACACTCTTTGTAACTACAAAAGGAGTAAATATGGGATCAAATATGAACATTTATTCTAACACAAGGGTCCTTGACCCACTTTTGGGTCATGACTGACTAGTTGACTGTCATCGCTTTTGTGCACTTTGGTCTTATCACTTTTTATCAGCCCGCAGGGGTAAAAATATTCAACATTGACGCCTGGCATACTTTTGTCAAAAAGTCACGAGCCAGCTGCCCTCTATCGGGCATCCGGCAAGCTTGTGTCTAAATATACGCGTCACAGTTGGAACAGCTGCAAACTCTGCATGAGCCCTGACAGGCACGTGCCCGTGTGTGACTGTGCTTTACGGTGACCCACATTTAAAAAAATAAAGAAATTTAAAAAGTCAGTTATAAATGCATGAAAAAAAATTGGATCCAATCATGATCCGATTTATTACAAATAAGCTATGACTCCAATTGCCACATGATTTATAAAGAGGGGCAACAATGAATCTATTAATCAACAACCAATCGATTATTAAATTAATCAACCATGATTTTAACACTTGATTCATCGTGTAGAGACAAATTAAGCCATGTGATTGGCTGGCAACCACTTCAGTGTGTCACCCGCCTATTGTGCGAAAACAGCTGGGATATGCTCCAGTACGCCAGCGACCCTCGTGAGGATAAGCGGGTTAGAAAATGGATGGATGGATGATTTTTGCCTATTTTCGGACATGTTGCTGATCAAACCACTAACTGGATCTTAATCAATCTTTGCGTTTTTTTCTGCACTGTCAACTTGAAATGATGTGTTTTGAATAAAGAGATCTTACCGCCCTTTGAGTTTCTCCAATTCGCGGTGGTGCAGCATGCTTCTCAAGTGTTCGTCCATCTCCTACGGATTGACAAAATAAAACTATAATTGACCCAACTCACTGCCGCATCGCGCCTTTTGCCCCCAAAAATCAACGGTGGTGACCGGATGTCAATATTTAAAATTGAATGAAGTATCATTGGCAACTGAAGTACCTGTTTGGAGGCATGGACCGTCTCGCAGAGGATGCACTTCCTGTCTCTCACCATCTTGACGTGAAATATACCAGCTGTCCCCAACCACTGGTCAGCGGCCCAGGAGCTATTTAAAAAACAATAACTATATATTGATATAGATTTATATTAGTGCTTAGCGTGCATGATTAATTAATTGCGTGTGAATTGCATCTGTCACCAACCTCTCACGTGCCCATTAAGATGTAATGTCTGTAAGATGAGAAGGTTTATATTCATGCTTCGTGTGCATTGCAAAGGTTAAAATTATCTACTAGTTACAGTTGAACTCTTTGTACAGTGCATTATTCTGTGAATTTCAAATGCAACTTGGTCAAAGAGATGTTTTGAAGTTAATTACTGAAGGACAAAATATTGTAAAACAATCACGTGTTGTGACAGTAATTCATACTTTAGCTATTTTAAATGCTAAGTGACTATTTTAAATGCTAAGTGACATTCGCGATATATTTATGAAAAATAAGCGTCTGATTACAGTAATCACTTTCAGAATTTTTCCTGCCAAATATTGAAATTGGCATGCCTCTAAAAAAAAAAACTTATTGGTGTGAGTGAAGGTTACCAATATGTCTCTTGTCACATTTTTGTTTGGTAGTGGGAGAAGATGTTCTTTTCATGTAAAATATGTGGATCAATAAAGGGTGGGAAAGCCTGGCATACGTCATAACGAACGCGACGTGAGGTGACGTCACGCTATCCATGTTTCAAGACGGCAGGGAGAGAAACAAAACAATTACAAACGTTTTTCCCACCATTCAGTTTCGAAATGTAAAAGTGCCAATGTTTGTAGAATCGTAGAGTCGAAGCACAGGATCAAAATTTAAACGCCCCCCACCCAAAAAAACAAAACAAAACAAACAACAACAACAACAAAATGCGGGTCCTGGTTGTGTTGTTAGTTTGCTAAAACATGCGTTTTGGGACGAATTCGTTAAAATTGGAGTATTATTTAGATAAAGTGGGTAATTGACTTTCTGCCTCGGAGCACATTTTTCGTCACTTCCTTTACATTACGGCTGTTTGTTTATTAGCACGCCTTCTGCTAATTCCAGTGTTTTGTGAGCAAACACTGGCTGCGTCCACGTGCAATATACACATAAGCACATAAAATGAACCAGCAAGTGACCCGACCGTCTCTGAACAATATAGAGCAAACAATGTGATATGTAATATTATATATTTTTTGTAATAATGGTGAGCAAAACTGGGCTAGTAGGCAATTAGCATGCTAGTCACCGTAACTAGGGTAACCCCAGGTTTTCTTGAACGCAACATGGTCAAATAGTGATCGAAAGCAGCTACATCGAAACGTTCTCGATCATTCCAAGAGTAAAAAGTCGTTAATTTGCTACCTTTATAATATCAACGTGTGGCCAGGGCTCCACATTTTGTCCATCATCGTGGTAGCAGTTAACAACATCTTCCACCCGCGAAGAACAAATGATCCCCCAGCTTGCTGCACGGGAACGGAAGCGACGTTCAAGTCCGTCGCTGCCATCTGAAAGAAAAGTTTCACGAGTTTGGGGAAACCCGGAGCGAATTTCTTACTGAGTTAACCTGCGTAAAAATAAGTAAATGTCTCTTGGTTTGAGAATTTCTGTGTGAAAATGAGGAAATTTTCAAAATGTATCTGAAACTTTAGGATTAGGTAAGAATAAAATAATTCAGCATTAATGTGGGCATTTAGCTTGGAAAAATGTGGAATATAAAAAAAAAAAAGCTGTACTGTATTTGGTTTTTGTGGAAATTCTCAAATGTAAATATAAAATGTGGAAGAATGTGGTAAATATGCAAAAGAACTCTTCATTTTGGAAGTCGAGTGTGAGAATGTAGAATTCTGAAGAAGGTTGGACATATGAGATTGTGAAGGAATCAAATTACTTGTCAACATGTCATAAATTAGTTGAACATTTTAAAGTTTGAATGGTTTGAATACGCAAGGAATTCTGGAATTTGGGGGGGGGGAACTTTCATTTCAAATGGATTGGTTTATGAAAAATGTGGAATAGTGAAAAAGTAGACATTTCGGATTGCCCGAATGATGTGTATATTTTGCTATTGGAGTGGTTTGAATCACTTTCAGAAGTGTGGATGTCTATGAAAGACAAAAAAGCGGTGGAATAATACCAAGTAACAGTGAAGTCTGAAGTTTAAGTGTACAAAACATAAAAACGAGATATGAACAAATAAACTCATAAAATCACCGCCACATACATTCAAGTCATTTTGATCAAATTATGGCCCAACAGCAGGATGAGCATACAGTAGGAATGCTGAAAAACAAAACAAAACAAAAACATCAAATCGTTTTGAGTGTTATGTAGGTGTTAATTTATGCGCACGGGACGCACATACAAGAATGTTTGTGTAACACAAAAGTTGGCTCTGAAATGTTTGCCTCTGAGAATAATAGAAAGGGCAGAAAAGGGTCCCTTTATTTCTACTTAGCTCTCAGGTAAGTAGAAAAATTGTGTAACGAGAAATGAAATTCATCTTATGTTGAAATGTTACAACTACCAAAAGAAACGCTGCCCTCGAGTCCAACAGACCATTTTGGAAATTTGCATCCCCAGTGTTCAGTTTATGATGCCCTGTTGGCGGGCTTTGTTCCTCAAATGGCGCTTGCGCATTCGGATGATCCACTGCACGGTGAGCTTGGCAAAATTGGCTGCCTTGAAGAGAGCCATGAAGACGCCGCAGAGAATGGCCGCCGACGACCACGGGTTTGCTGTCACGATCTGTTTGAATTCCAAAAAGAGAGAAAAGCTTGTGTTTCCACTTAACGGAACAATTCGGCTCATCATAATTTAGGATTTGACAGATTAATTGGAAAAATAGAAAAACAATCTACACGTACTATGCACGTACACAAAGATTCACCATAAAAGCCCCCTAAAGATGCTCATCTCTCCATGTAAAATTCAGAGTTGTACCCTGCCTACCACCCGATGACAGCTGAGATAGGTTCCGGCACGCCCGTGACCCTCGCGAGGATCAGGAATTCAGAAAATTGTTGGATTGTTGGATGCGTTGGCATCGTCTGGTGTCACCTTGCTGCCACTAAGTGACTCACTAAGCTGCAATAATATTAGTCATTTTTGGTCACCTGGGGGCAATATAATACACACATACATGTAAACAACTCCTCAGTGGGTTACAGTAACAGCAGAGGATAAAGAATATATGCCAGTGAGTATTGTGATGGTATGTCTACACTGCATTGTTTGTGTTCAAATATCTGTTGCAAAAAGGGTCATAACACACCTATTGATTGTCGATTGGCATTTTCTATTAGCATTAAGCTAGCAGGGACATTCCTCAGGCAAATTCGTTTGCTTGTTTTAAAAATAGATAATGTCATTCTCTTTCTTTCATTTTTAGTTTGACAGAAAATATAAACTGGGGGTGACATTAAACAGCTTGAAGTTCTGGAAGACGGGTGTGCGCCCTCTCTGTTGGGATCTTGAACCTACCAGTTGGATTTCTTGGATAAAGGGATCACGCCACTCAAAGACGGCAAAGAAAAGCTGGTTGCTCCTTTCGGTTTCGGGCCTCTTGTCATTGAATTTGACCACAGCGGACTGAAAGACAAATCAGCGATCATCAAAAAAATAAATAAATAAATAAAAAACATTAACTTTTGAATTTATCTTTAGATTTTGGCCATACAATAGACATAGGCAGTATAAAAGCAACTTAATGAGTGAAGTTATAGCCATTATTTTCTTTGAAGTGACACTTTTCTCGGATGTCAAAACATCTCATCTTTGACAGAATTACATTTTAATTATGACGCATGGAGAGAGTTGGTTCGGATAATGGATGGATGGATGTTTAAAATCCTCGTGGTGTCTGAGCGGTCACTAACTGTCTCAGATGCTGATTGAATTGAATGAAGTCAGAGTTCCATCTAGTGGACAGACGGCGCAAAGGCATCCCTTTGTGAATCTCACACGGCTGAGACAATTCATCGCAAAACTCTGGCCAATCAGGATTATTTTGAAACGGGCTAGTATTCTGTCAATAGACAGACTGATTAATCGGTCGGGCCATCTTACCTCTTGGCGAAACTCCACTGATTGGTCGCTTTTCCCTGATGTCGTCACCAAGGACATCTTGACCCACGTGCGGAAGCCCCCGGAGAAGGTCCACGTGGAGTAGTTCCTCTCACAGTCCCTCATGAACTCAGATTTATTCAAACTGGAGAGTGAGATTTTAAAGAGTCAATAAAGGGGCGAATGTCGCTCTCATGGGATCAATCTAATTGGACGCTGAGTAAGGGCTATGATCTTCCTCTCGATTCTGGGATGGATATCTTGCGGCTGAGCTTTGGGCAGAATTCTTTCCATGTTCAGTTTTTCGGGTCACTGGTGTCTGAGTTTAAGATGAAAAGACGTTGACTTCATGACGATCTGGCCTTTGTATAATTCGGAACCAGGACAGTACAGTATTGGGTCAACATCATTCTAGCACACAAATCAATAGCATCAATGTGGTGTTTGTATCAGCTAATCAATAGCTAATCAATTTTCAAAATCAGCTAATATATAAACAATGATTAACAGTCATCAGGTTATCTTTCTGTGATATGTGTAAGTCAATGAATCAAGTTCAAACTGGAGTCGCAAGTTGAAAAAAAATCTGATGAAGAACAATTAGCACGACAAACGGTGCCGTTACCTGTTGTCCAGGTCGCTAAATTTGGCGAATAGCATATACGTGATTGCGCTGAAGTCCTCCTCGGTTTCGTTCTGACTGAACTGCATAAAGATTAACTCCTTGTTGCGGACATCCGACGGTCCTTGCACCACCAGCGCCTTCTTCTGCGACACACGCGCTAAGAACGGTTAGCTTGCTGTTGACAGGAGAGCGCCGTATTTACCACGAACCTTCGTTCGGTTGGTGAAGACCCCGTAGTAGGTCACCTCCTTGATGATGCAGTCACCCTCTTGAGGCTTCCCAGGGTCCACCAGGGGCGGGATGTGGTCGTGGTAGTGGTGCCGGCAGCTCAGTAGCCGGGCATTGCCGGGATACAGAGCGATACCTATGACGATGGAGGTCGCAGCTTATCAGAGTAATCCATTGACAGCATGGTAGTGATATTCTCGCAGCATTACCCAATTGCTGACACCCAATTTAGTGTAAGGCAGAATTGGCAGGGACTCCAGCCCAGGCCAGATGCTCATCCTCTGCGTCCAACACTTTGATGCAAACTCTGAATCTTAAATTAATTTAACTTTGTTTCATTAGAGCTGGAAAAATGTCAATGTCTAACAGGGAAAAAAGACTGGAGTCCCCGCTGGCCTTAGGAATGGGCAAGTACAACCTTATTTCAAGGTATCGGTTTCTTTACGAAAGATGCTGATATCAGCCACCGATACTGAAGGCAAAAGCAAAAAAAAAAAAAAAAAAAACCTAATAAAAACTAAAACAAAGCATTTTTGAGAGAAATTAAAACTCAGAAAGACTAACAAACCCGCTCTAAGAACTAATTAAAACTAACTGATTTTAAAAAAGAAAAGTCATGAAAGTGGGGAATATTTTCTGTCATCATATGCGTAGAACTGCATTTTGATTGTACAGAATGCTAATGTCTTGACTGGCTAACTAAAAAAAGTATCAAAAAATATAACAATAACTGTATGGAAAAATCCTAAATTGTAATAACTATGATACACACCAGGAGGAGAGAAGGCATCCACCTCCTTGTAGGTGACTGACATGACAGGATGGTTGAGTTTGTCCAGGAAGTCGGAGATGGTCTGGTAGGCCAGGAAGGCGGCCACAGTGGTCAGCAGCAGGTAGATGAAGATGAGCACCACCGTGAACACGTTTTTCAGGCACGCCTTGCTGACCCGCTTGGACGGTGTGATGCCTTGAGCATCATCCTCTGAAAAAGTGGGGAAAACACAACCTCTTGCCGAATCAAGATAACTACAACATGCACAATAGAAACTAACACAATGACTAACCCCCCCCCAAAAAAAAATCTGCATAAAAATCAAAGCAACAACTGTCTGTACCTGGCGAAACACTATCAATGCGCTCCTCGCCGTCTTCCACGACATCTCGGAAAAAATCCGGTGACTGCATTTCTTCGCTGTGGTCATCGTCATCATTGAACTGCGGTATCAAACAACAGCGCGGATAAACACATTCACTGGATAACAATTAGCATGGATAGTCTCACCCTGAAGCAGCAGATATATGAACTAACGGTAGGGCAACACACGGAGACAGAAAATATCAGGCATAGCAAAACGAGTGACAGTGAGTGACGCATCGTTTCGAAATGAGGTTTTGACATAATCAAAAGAAAATGATCTCAGCTTTACAGAATCTGTTCAAAAACTCAAAAACAAGTTCAATGAAAGCAAGACTTGCGAAGCTGCTTTGAAGAGGTCCTATGTTTCAATATAACCTCACCTGTTACGATGTCTTTGTTTGAAATAGCTTTTGATTTCAGCAAATACAACCTCAGAATGCTTCAAATTCAAAGACTATTTTAGTGCTTTGCAACCTATCTTGAAACACTGCTGTGCGTGATAATTTGAAACACCAAATTTTAACAAAAACTGCATTTTATTTTGAAAACTAAACACCGTTATCATTGGGAGGTTGGTTCAAAAACATTGAAATTATTCCATAACAGTCGATCACTTGAAAATTATACTGAGACCCATTTGCACAGACAATCTATTAAAAAATGAGAGAAACCTTTTGTAAAATAATGTGAACACACGCGTGCGTATAAATAAAAGAACGGAATAAACTTCCTTAGTTTTTTTTTTAGTCCAGTCAGCTCGTTCGGTCAGGAAGCTTCTCTTCCTGCACTTGCATGGGGATCACATGACGTCAAGTGCGCAGGACACACTCACATACGCTAAAGGATTTACTAAAACTTAAAAACCGCGCACACACCTGACGCGTAAGAAAACGTACAATCAAGCATCTTGGGGTATTTAGGAAAGAGTTGTAAAAATTTGCCTGGTATTTCAATTAACGATTAGACATAAACGTACCTCTCGATAAGTGCTGTCCTTTCCGAGCATTCCTAAACTACGCTCCTCTCCCGAAACAGCACTTCTGCAGACGGTTCTCGTCGCGCCCTCAACTTTTAGTCAACATTTTAAAGAAAAACGGGCAAAAATGAGACTATGTGGACAAATAAACAAAAATATGAGGTTTTCCAAAAACGATAAAGGACCATCTCATGACACGAAGGGACGCAAAAAGATCAGAAAAAAAGTTCGCGTCCGGGGTTGGCTTCTTTCCTTGTCCCACCTCGCTTGCCTGACGTTGTCTTCGTCGACTCTGAGGAAAAAAGGCAACGCCAATTTGTCGGCGTGAATGACGAAATGGAAGGGCGGAGGGGGCTTAGTTGTGGCTCCAAGTTATTCAATTATGGCTTTCATATACTAATTTGTCGACACGAAATTCCACTATGTGGTTTTAACATAATTCCAATGAAAATTCGGACGCCAGGGTTTCAAATGGAGCGCACCTTTCCTCGACAATGAGACGGCGATAACCTCTCCCTCGCCTCTTCGCGACAGATGCGCTCGATTTGCTGACCAACTTGTCCAGCCACGCCGCCCTTCATTTGTAGTTTGTGTGAACACATGACACTTACTTTGTGGCCACAAAGTGATATGTTATTAGCTTGTTATACCTATTCTGTGGTCACTATTTAATTCTCCAAACGCCAATGTCAAGTCTGTGGCTGAGCGGAAAATATGTCCTTTTTTAAAAATATAAAAATGCACCCAGTTTGGCCACAATATAAGGAACACTTGGTTCCCACTACAGAACTTGGCATTTGAACAGGGGTGTGTTGACTTTTTATATTAATTCGGTTACATTTTTATGTAACGCACTTTGCTTCAGATACCATTATTATTTTTAAATTGAATAGTGTGGCTGTAACTAGTGGTTTCTAATATTTTGAATCACCACGGCAGTTATACAAGATAAAAATGATAAATGCCACTTCTAATGTAATATGTACAAATATGCATCGACAGTTGTGTATTTAAATTTTACACAGTGTAAATATACTTTGAGGTCAAAATCATCAGTATGCAGTATGACTTGAAATGCAGTGGGGCCTCAACTTGACAGGTTGACATGGTTGATTTTTGCAACATTAACTTGGTATTTCCTTGAAACGAAAAGGTTAATATTTGAGACTATTTCCTAAAACCTCAGATACTTATACTACGAATTTCTCACAACCGTTCCCAAAATTTATTGAGCAAAGACATAGTTTACTAAAGAAAAATCTTGCACAGCACCACTGTACAAAAAATGGATTCTCATCCAGGAACCTGTATGGAATTGTGAAAATTGCAATCTTTTTATTTTTGGAAAAAAAACAAAACAAAGCAGGAAGTAAATACAGTGAGCTTCCAATTCCCATGAAAATTGATTGCTCACGAGCTAAAATCCCAAAAAGCTGCAAACCATTCGATGCGAAAACAAGACAGCGGCAGACAACAACATATTTACAATGAGAAAAGCAGCAGTTTAAAAAAAAAAAACACTATGTCATCACCAGGCCTCGCCGTGCACACAGTAAGTTGGACTTCTTTGCTTTGCGCTCTTCAGCTTGTTGGGCTTGTCTCTCCTCCCTGCAAATGCCACAAAACAGAATCAGAATCAGAATGCACCTCAAAGTAGTGAGATAAATCATCTGAAGATATTTTACAGCAGTGTACATCATGACAAATTGTAATTAATTGTATTTTATCAAGACGGGATATATTCATTTCATATAATTACCTCCATTTTCCGACTTGCGTTTTTGAATTTCAAAAGAATATGAAAGCTCCATGTTTTGCCATTCGTGATTCCACCGCTTTCACTAATGGTTTAAATTTTTTTTCCACCCTACAAAAGTATCCTGTTGAACTTCAAGCTGAAGGCTCAAATCTCTAAACACACTTCCCCCTGAAACATTGATCATCTATTTAGAAAAGATCTGCAGTTCATAATTTAACAGAGACAACTACTAAGCTATTTGAACAGAACATACTCATACAAGTTAATCCACACCTGGTCTGCACTTTGTGCTGTTTGTAGTATTTCTTTCGAGAGTCGGCGACCAAAGACTTGTCGGCGGCTTTGTCATCCTTGCAGTCGCTGAACGGCTTCAGTTTGCCTATGAGCGCAAACGGACACAGTAAGGGGTGGTTTACATAGGGGGTGTCCTGACGAAAAGGCGGACAATGTTACCCGTGTGAGGCTTGTAGGTGAGCGGGCGGGACAGGCTGGCCTTCAGGTCGAAAACGGCCTTCTTCTGCGTTCCCGGAGTGACGCTCGTGTTGCCAGTGAACACAAATGATGCTTTTGGGCGGGAACAAAGGCTATTATTAGACTATGTACAATCCCCAAATTAATTCACCAGTGTACGGACTTGTGCATACAGTTGTGGCACCGACCTGAAGGTTTGGTGGCAGACAAAGCGGAGGTTTTCCTCCCTGCGGGCGTCTGCGTCTTGGGTGTGCTGGTGGCCAAGGCAGACGAATAGCGCGCCGGCGTCTTCACTAGCGACCTCTTGTACTCGTTGTCAGGCATCAGTTCGGAAAACCTGCACGGAAACAAAACAAATGATATGCGATGCATAATAGATTGGACATCGTTTGTTGTGATGAAGATTGCTTTGTTCAAAAATACATTACAGAAGGACCCTGAAGAGAAAATAATCGCAAATCAAATCGCAATCTTCAGGGGACAGACGAATGGCATTTCAATGGGAAAGGACAATTTGAGATGCAAGGGTTGTGGGTTACGAGCATGGTCATGGAACAAATTAAACTCATATCTCAAGGTACCACTGCATATTAAAAAAAAGGCACTGTGTAAAAAGATATATAGAGAATCAGCAATCAGACTGTGTGAAAACTATGCCTGGCCTCACCTGACGTTGATCCTTCTTGTGCAAAGCACAGAGGGCTTGAATACAGAATCTTGCTTTTTCTTAGTCAACTTGCTTGGAGGATCTGGTTTGTCCGTCGTCAGCGGACTCTTGTTCCTGTAGGCCGCGGGACTGAACAAGGACACCCGACGAGCCTTGGCCGCCTGCGTCACGCCACAACAGGGAACGTCATATACTATTGTCAGCAACAAAAGGATGCCCCGTCTGTGTGTACCTTGAGCTCTGGGACAGGCTCCATCTTCCTCTTGTTGTTGTTCTTCCTCTGCACATAGGCGTCGATGGACTCCATCTTGTTGAAGTGTGCCTCGTGGAGTTTTTGGAAGTCTGCGTGATGAAATGAAGGGATAATAATGCTCTTTTATAGAGCTCAAGTGTTTTGAGGGGGCAGGGGGGGCACCTACTGGGAGTGACGGGTTTCAGGGCTGCCCTCTTCACCTGCCGCCCTTTGTAACGAGGGATCTTAGCAGGTTTGGCCACACTGGGAACACGACCTGCAAAGAGAAAGAGAGAGAGACAGAGACACAGAGAGAGAGAGAGAGAGAGAGAGAGAGAGAGAGAGAGAGAAAAAAACAGTATAAAATCTAATTGCATATTTGCCAATTGACATTTTCGGTGCTTGATATATTATAAAAGGTATTCTTTATGGAAGGACCTGAAATGCAAACAAAAAAAAATGTGAATATGATCTATCAATTTAAGTGGTGGAACTCAATATACTGAATATTCAATATTTAAAACGCAAGAATGTGTTCATATAATATTTATAAAATTTGTACGCGCCTGGTCGGGCAATTGTCAGTGAGCTCTGGGTGGCCTGATACAATCACATCGTGACCCCGGGCCACTGATAAAGTAGAACCCAGCGAAATTCTAATGATGATGAATATTAGCATGACTGACCTCCGTCATCCTTGGGCTCGCTCTGCACTTGACTGCTCATGTCTGAAGACTCTATCACAGGTTCATTCTCTCCCCTCTTCTCAGTCTTGGATAGAGAAGACAATCGTCTCTTCTTGTAAGCTCGGACTTGTGGGACCACGTCACTGCCCCCCTTTGGAGGAAAAACAACATTCAGTGTTGCGTTCACGGACGTGGCCTCCGGGCACTACGTGAATACCTCATTATCCAACTTGGCATCAGAATCACGGGTTCTTGTCTTTTTCGCTTTTCCTCGACGTGTGTTCACAAACACTGAGGAGCTGCAAAACACCTCCTGGGATTGGTCTGTCTGGACCTCAGCAGTGACTTTGGCCTCCATCTCTTCTACCTTGTTGACACAAAGGAAAAAAAAACATTTTAATAGTAACCCACTTACTTCCTTTTTTGACAAACCTGCCCAGCCAAAACATCTGACGTGATCAATAGTTTACCTTGTCTTTTTCGGTTTCCTTTTCTTGCTCGTAATGCTTCTTAATGGCTTTTAAGAGCCTGTCCGCCTATTTGCACAAGTATATAGTTAGACGACTAATCTGAACAAAGAAATTGTGAGTTTGTAGTCGTTAGGCTAAATGTTAGTGCCGAAGAAATCGTCGTCACCCTTACCTTCATATTAGCCTTGAGACCCAGTTGCTTCGCTCGGTTGCGTAGCTCCGCATATTTCATTGAATCCAAATCCATTGTTTCGTATGATTAATAAGAGGTGAACGAGTGAGAAAAGAGCAGAAACTCGCACGGTGCTCGTATCAAACAATTTGAAACGACTCGAGATTCAAAACAGGGGCGCGGAACATGTGATTGGCTAATGGTATGGAAAGGAAACGCTCTCGCCCAATCGCAGACGCGGATTTGCGGAACCCCGCAGCCAATCGCAGGGAACAGATTAATGTCCACGCGTTGTGTCGAACCAAAAACATTACATGAAAATTATAATCTGTACCTCTTTCTGTGGAAAAAAAAAAAACAGTTATGTTTTTAAGTTATTTTCTTTCTTCACGACTCCATCTCGACGCTTTGACTGTGCGACCGACCATTCACTTCGTACTGTGTGTGTGTGTGTGTGTGTGTGTGTGCGTTGTGCTCCGAGAAGAGCAACACAAAGCACCAGACAGATATGAAGACTCTTTATGAAGACTATATTTAATAATACACATAAAAAAGAGAGACCAAGATAAATAATGTAATTTAAAAACCTTTTCCAACACTGTTACCAACATTATTGAAACATTTTAAATAAAATATTTTTGAGGGGAAGTGAAAATAAACAGCGTCGATATTCCGCTTGCATAAGTGTGCACACCCTCTATAACTGGCGTTATCGTTGCATTTGAAATAAACCAATCACCTCTAAATTCATATTAAAGTCACCACACCATTGAAAGTCAAGCCACTGATTACCCCAAATGACATTTAGATATTTTTGTGGGCTTTTCCTGACATTTTTCATCAGTTCATTCAAAAGCTCATATAAACTCTCTATATATGATTAGGGGGTAAGGATGTGTCAGACTTTCTGCATTCCCAAATCTTCAGTGATAATCTTCCAAACGTTGTCCCGGTTCAGGCCTAGCTCATTTGCGATCAATCGAACAGTCAACCGACGATCGCCAAGCAGCATCTGCCGGACGCGCTCCACATTGGCCTCAGTCCTGCTCGTTGAAGGCCTTCCACTCCTGGGGTTGTCTTCCACGTCCTCGCGTCCCTCTTTAAACCTCTTGCACCACTCAAAAACACGTGAGCGTGACATCGTCTCATCACCGTACACTTGCTGCAACAATCCCAATGCTTCAGATGGACTTTTCCCCAACCGGACCAGAAACTTCAGGTTGATTCGTTGCTCCGTGCTCGCTGCTTGACGACCTGACAATACAAAAACACTCAAGCCCATATATTCTTTATCCTTTGTGAAAAACGACTAATGCTGTTGCAGTTGAAACATGACAAGTTTTCCCAAAAATGACAATCTATCAGAATGCTTGAAGTCAAGGTGGAAGGGTCACTTCAACCTGAGTACAATGCACCAAGAAGATTGAAAAATTAGACATAGCTCTGGACAATATGGCTAAAAAAAACAAAAACAACAAAATCACATTTGGTTCACATCATCCAAACTTGATTATAAACACACATTTTTAATATGGTTTTTAAACTGAGAGTTTTAAAGCATCGGAGCGCTCCCCCCCCAAAAAATTTGAGATTGTTCCACTGTGTTTTGTTGTGTTTTAAACTCTACATTCATTACGGTACCTCTACAATTGTTTCATATTATTCATAAATAATGGCCTCCCCTCTAAAACACATCTGCAATCAAGTAAATGAATTGCCCAGCCACTAGTCTGTGAAAATACATTACTTTGGAACCAAAAAAACATGCATTACGTTGATGATGAATTTATAAAGTGCTACTGACCTGCTTCATCCTTGGCGTCGTTCCGCACTCGACTACTCATGTCTGAAGACCTGAAAATCACCTCTTTGGACTCGTCTGCCTTCACCTCAGTATTGACGTGGGCCTCCGTCTCTTCTGTCTAAATAACAAAACAGAAACATCAAAATCAATGAGAACCCCGGACTACTTTTTTAACTACTTTGCCGCGCCGAAATGATTGAATGAACACATGATTCAAAAGTTTACCTTGTCTTTCTCAGTGTCCATTTGTCGCTCAAAATGCTTCTTAATAGCTTCCAACAACTTGTCGGCCTATTAGCACAAGCATATAGCAGTTAGACGAGAAATTTTGTAAAAAAAAAAAACATAATGAACTTGCAGTGTGAAGCTAAATGTTAGCGCGTAGGAATTGTTCCCCTTGCCTTCATATTTGCCTTGAGACCAAGCTGCTTCGCGAGACCGCGTAACTCCGCATATTTCATGGAATCCAAGTCCATAGTTTTGTCTGCTTAAAAAGTGGGGAAAAGGGAGCAGAAAGTCACACACAGTGCCCTGAACGGACAGCGACCATTAGAATTTATTTGTCTTTATAGGTTCAACACTACAACTCAGATTCTTCTTCTTTTCCTCACCCCTCTTTGTTTTATGTAATTTGAATGACGGTTGGCCACCAGCGTTCAGATACATTACCGTCACCTACCGGACTGGAGTGTGAATAAATCGCAATTGAAAATACTGTCGTCCCGAGAAGATTCTCAATATTAAAACTAAGTTTAACTCACCCAGTAATTTGTTATACTAAAACATATTCCATACTATACAAATGTTAAGCCTGCCATCAGAGATGTGTGTCAAATTCCTAGGCCTTTTTATGATGTTACTGTAGTTATTTTCTCTGTTTTCCTCTCTATTTGTTTCGTTTTGTACCGTTAACAATGTCATTTTACACACAAAGTCTCTGTCTTTAAAATCTCTGTAAATTGGAAATTATTATTGAATTTGACACAACCACAGAGAAAAATCGTTCACTACCTTGCCAAGTTTGAGACTTTTTTTTACATTTTCTTTTTCATCCAACCATTCATCCCCAATTATAACGTACGATGAATGATAATTAGGAATTATTATTCGCAAATAACAGCTATTAGAATAACGATTAGAACGAAAATACCAAGTATTGTGCTTATATTTTTATTGTTTTCAACTAAACGTAATTCACATCTCCCTGAGGGAAGTACTGTATTCTTCAGTCATAAAATGAACATAAAGCGGCATGAGGGCATCCATAAAATGAACATAAAGCGACATGAGGGCATCCGAGGGCTGTGATTGGCGGAAAACAACATACGGCGTGTGCGTGATGACGCCATCGCGTGGCGCCCCAAAGAAGTAGTGCTACTCCATGGCCATCCCGGCCAAGAAGAAGTCGAAGTGACCGTGCGGCAACATTTAGCCCGCTGACACGATAGTTATAGGGGGCTTTAAATGCACTCCCCGGAAATGTACGCCTAACTGTCGGCGCGGTATTATTCACGCCTACGGAGCTGACATAAATCTACCAAAAAGTTGTGACCATACCCGAGGACGCGCCGAAATTCCGGGTAAGCTGTTTGAACGCAGCTAACGCGGCTAACTGTGGGGGGGCTAACAGGTGTAGCATGCTAGTTGGCTTTAGCCGTGTTGTTTTTCATTTGGCCGGCAAACTTCTCCATCTTGACTTTTTATAGCCGACTTTTTTGTCGAAATACCGTTATGTTACCAAGCATAAAGTAACCTCCAAGTGTTGTCATTGTAAATACTATTGTCTGATTCGGTGAAATTGTTTTTTTTTGCGTTGGTGCGGCTGGCTCGTTTTGAGCTCGCTTTTTGCTCCATTTGTACACAAATGTGAACACCAGCCGTCGTGTTGGGGATTATGGTATTAATCCTCCTCTGTTCATTTCACAAAACCCGCTGGTTTCCCAATAAAGCCACAAGAGGTGGAGGAGGGTCAGCCTGGAAGAACAGCCGAGTTTCCATGTAACCAAATAGCGGCGTTGCGACATGTTACCCGGTCGCTTTCGTAAACAGGACCGGGCAGCCACTCTGTGTTTATGGAACACACGTGTACAATATGTCTGTGCAATATGTTGACGAGGTGTGTTGTTGAAATCACATTAGCTATTGCAGAGGTATTGGGTAACGAGGCAAGTGTGGTTATTTTATACATCTTATATATCTTTGATATCTATCTATCTAGGAAATGTTGAAAAACATTATTAGCAACTAAAGTATGTTTTTGAAATACTTTATTTTTAAAGTGTTTTTTCCCCATGCTTTTATCTTTCTTGAAAGTTTTCTTTAATCAAACACTTTCAGAGATCATTTTAAAAACAATATGTTACATCCAAAACATTCAAGAGTTTCTGATTTTGTTTTAGTTTTCTTATATAATTTCCCCACCCCCCAAAATATTTCAAAATCTCGACCACCAAATGTGACCTTGAGATGCAAATGATGTCATTTTGTGCATTCCAGGGTTGTTCCCCATCTCCATTCAGAGAACATGGAAGGTCTGCACCCACACTGCCTTAAATGCATCAACCGGCGGTGCATGGTGCGGCCGGAGGCGGGCCTATCATGTGACCTCATCGGCTGCCCACTAGTGTGTGGCGCCGTCTTCCACGCGTGCAAGCTGCCCGAGCACCGTCTGCTGTGTCCGTACGAACGACTACCGTGCCTTAACAGCGGTTTTGGCTGCCCTTTCGCCGTGGCCCGGGCCAAGATGGCGCAGCACCTGGAGATCTGCCCCGCCAGCATCGTGTGCTGCACTATGGAGTGGAACCGCTGGCCTGTCAGCTACGCGGACCGCAAGTCCTACGAGAACCTGAGTCGGGACTTTGACGAGGTGGAGCAACTGGACATGGCGCTGGCTCTGCAGGTACAGTTGTAAAATTCCGGGAATATGAGAGATGAATTGATGATTTCTTCGTTCACTAGGAAAATTCACTGTTCTAAGTAGTCTCTACTTAGGGAAAGGCAAAGCAGGCTTGCTGAATTACAGTGAACCTGCCTTTTGCTGGGGCATGGGGACTAGGGGTGAACGATTTTGAAAAATAATCTTATTGCAATTTAATCCCACGCCCCCCCTCACATTAAACAACAGAGAATTAAGCATTGCGCATTTAAACAACAAAATGTTCAACAAAACTGTAGTGGCAAAAGTCTGCTAGTTTAATGCTAACATATAATGCGAAATGCTATAGATGTGTTTTCGAAAATTAGCAACTCTTCTATGTGAGAACTACGATTATGGGAGCCTAGTCGGGGACCTTTTCTGCCTCTCTGAATTCAGGCATTCCCATTTACGATTAAAAAAAAAAAAAGTAAAATAGTGAGAGTGCGAAAAGAGAAACCACGATATAGCGTTGAAAAAAAAAAAAGTAAAATAGTGAGAGTGCGAAAGAGAAACCACGATATAGCGTTGTTTTTTTGTTTTTTTTTAATTGTATTTCAATAATTCCACAACATCATTCCACTTGGAAATTCAGTGGAATCCTTCCGGAAATTTGCAGAAAATTTTGCGCCCCTTTGCAACTGTACCTGCAGGATCAGCGCATGCTCCTGGAATCCCTCAAAGTCACCACCACCGTATCCAAAGACGGCAAGGCGGACAACGACAAAATGGCCATGGCTCCCGATGGCGAAGCCGCCAACGAGGCGGTGGAGATGGAGGAGGAGCCGTACAGCGACTTGTACCGAGCCTCGGTGGAGACAAGCCGGAGCTTGGTGGCAGCCTTGGACATCCTCACGCAATCCAAGGGCGTCGTCGGTCTGAACGGGGAAAGCGGCGGCGCGGGGAGGAATGTGGACATGGGCGAAAGCGACTCGGACTCCGAGTGCGAGCTGGGGGCGGTGGGCGGCGTGCACGAAGATGACGGCGCTCTCGCTTGGCCGGAGGAGGATGAAGATTTTGTGGAATTGTTTTTCGAGGACAAGGAAGACGCCATCGAAGACCCGGCGGAGGAGGAGTCCCTGGAGCCCGTGTGGCCGCAGGCGCCTCGGGACTTTGTGCCGGCCATCTTGCCGGACCCCCAGGCGGAACCACTGGCCGCGCCCATCCCCTTCCTCTTGTCAGACCAAGTAAGGAACAACTTTTTGCACCAGCTACCCACCGAGCTCAGGTACCGCTGCCTGGAGCGCAAACTCCAGAACGTGGAGGTTCTGCGCGGCATCAGCATGTTTACTTTCAACGGCCGCCGTGCACTGCTCTCGGACCCGTACCTCTTCCGCGCCAAGATGGAAGACAAGGCGGTGGACACGTCGGACCTGGAGGTGGCCGACGACCCGATGGGCCTGCACGGGATCGACCTGATCACGGCCGCCTTGCTCTTCTGTCTGGGCGACTCGCCGGGTGGGCGCGGCATCTCCGACAGCCGCTTCGTGGACGGCTACCACATCGACTTCGGCACGCAGACCTTCTCCTTCCCCTCCGCCATCCTGGCCACCAACACCATGGTGGGCGACATTGCGTCGGCGTCAGCGTGCGACCACGCCAGCCCGCAGCTGTCCAACCCCAGCCCATTCCACACGCTGCGCCTGGACCTGGTGCTGGAGTGCGTGGCGCGCTACCAAACCAAGCAGCGCTCCATGTTCACCTTCGTGTGCGGCCAGCTGTTTCGCCGCGACGAGTTCTCCTCGCACTTCAAGAACGTGCACGGCGACATCCACGCCGGGCTCAACGGCTGGATGGAACAACGTTGCCCCCTGGCGTACTACGGTTGCACCTACTCACAGAGGCGCTTCTGCCCGTCGGTGCAGGGGTTCCGCATCATCCATGACCGGCACCTGGGCTCCTTCGGCGTGCAGCCGGGCCTCCCCGCCAAAAGCGCAGACAAGCTCCAGAGGAGCGCCCGCCCGCACCTGGGCTCCAAGTGCGACCAGCTTAGCGGTCTTCCCTTCGAGGTGCTGCAGCACGTGGCCAGCTTCCTGGACAGTTTCAGCTTGTGCCAGCTGTCGCGGACGTCACGCACCATGAGGGACGTGTGCGCCAGCCTCCTGCAGATGCGCGGCATGGTCGTCCTGCTGTGGGAGAAGAAGCGGCGGGAGGACGGCTCGCTGTCGTGGCAGATCACGGACAAGGTTGGTGTTGCCTCCCTGTATTCTTATCACTGATTTGTTTGCCCGTTCGGATTCTAGGTCTGAAGATTTATTAATCGAATGCAATTTTCCAATCATAAATGTCACAATTTATATTTCCATTCTTTCTGTGGTAGTTCACAGACTGTAAAGACACACCGAAGTTAAGATTCACTTCTTTAGTTCTCTGTATAGATTTACGTTTCCGGTTATTTCAATTCTCCATCTCCTTTTGTAGTGATGCCCTTTTTTTTCCCCCCCCCCTCACAGGTGTGGCGCTTCAGCACGGCCTTTGGCACGGTGAACGAGTGGAAGTTCGCCAACATCACCAGCATGGCGGACCACCTGAAGAAGTGCAAGTTCAACACGGTGGCGCGACGCGAGGAGGCCATCCCGCTGCCTTGCATGTGCTTCACCCGCGAGTTGACCAAGGAGGGCCGCTGTTTACGCTCTGTGCTCAAGCCCGTGGCCTAAACTAAGTTCTCTTCTGCAGTTGGAAAGCCGTTTGACTCATTATTCAATATCCTTGATTTCCTATCTTAACTCATTCACTGCCATTGCCGTCTATATGCCGACGATAGTTCGAATCTGAACGTTCACTGCTATTGACGTCGACGGATGTCAGCAATGTAGCACTTTATATTTTTAATGAGTCCAGTTCTTGAGGGATTTTGTTGGAGATAATGGACGCAGTTTGCAAGTCGGACAAGTTTAAGTCTTTTACACACATACAGAGCACATATACGACGAGTGTGAGCAGAGTACGTGCCGCAGAAGTGTGTGATTCGTGATCGCGACAAAATACGACAGAGGTCTTGGAGTTAATGATGAGGATGACTCTTAAAAAAAAAACAAAAAAAAACACTATAAACAATACGAGCCCATGGCTGCCAGTACACGTCTATTGGTAAATAAAATGTTATTTTTTTATCACAAAAGCCATTGGCAAATGTTGTTCTAGGTGTTTTATTGAAGGAAACCACTGTTCAGGTATTAGAGGTGCCACTAAAGCAAAAAAGAATATTGCAGTCAGTCACTTTTCGCCCTGATATGTTTCTTTAGACCAAAAAAAAAAAATCAAGTTTTCTCTGCTTTTGGGGACAAACTGCTGTTTTGGGCAAAGCCAACCTGTTCTACTGCTGATTACTAAAGAACGGAAAAAGATAGAATCAAGTGTCCCGGCAAAAGAAGAGCGTTCTTACATTTGGTAGTTTGGGTTTTTTTTTTTTTGCGTCTTGGAACACAATATTGTGTGGGTCTTAAAATCAATCAAAATGCTCTGGCAATGAATGAGTTACGGTTCATGTATTAATACACTCGTTGTCCTCACTCGTAAGAACATTTGAATCAGCATACCAGTGGAACAAATGTGTGTTAAGAATACTACTTCCCCAGTATTGTTTTTCCCACTGGTAAGACCACTAGGTCCAGTGTAAGGCAGTCATGGGAAATTTTGCTGCTTACTTGTCGGAGTGCACTTTATTGTCACAGATGACAAATTGAGCATTTATTTTGATTTTCACCTTAATTAAGGTCTATGCTGACCAATGTAGACACACTAGTAGAATGACTGAGTCTTACTCGTAATGTTTTACCAACTAATAGTGCCGCTTTTGGCCTACTAACATGAGTAAACGTCTGTGTTCCGCTACACTTCTAATTCTTAACATTGAGTGCTTTGCGATTACTAGTAATGGTGTGCAGATGTTAAATAATGCAGTTTTACCTCACAAATAACACAATTATTAGACTACTGTGCCAAATTTGTCCTCCGATTGAGGACAACAAGCATATTAAAACATACCCTTTAATAAAAGTATGTGGTGTTAAAAGTGCTAGCAAGATTTGTTATGTAGCCTCACTTCACCCCCACCCTCCTCACGTCCCTCTCTAATGTGCATAGGCGCAATTCTTAAACATTGCCATTCTTAAAAAAAAATAGGAAAGAAAAAAGTCTATAGTGGTGATAATTAGCCAAACGCATATATAGTGCTAGCAACACTAAGCTAGCATTAGCACTGCACACAAACTGACGTTAGCCGTGGCTGCCACAATAGTAGCATGGCTTATTTGAAATTGGGTGTCTTTAGAACACTAAAAGGTCCGTTTCAAGTTTTATTTTGCGGAATGTACAATAAATAAAGCAAAAAGACGTAAACGTACCTGTCGAGCGGAAATATTGTTAATGCTGCGTCGTCTGCTACTGTTAGGTTGACACAGAGTTTTAACAAAATGTTTTAAATTCGCAAACCCCACTTTACGATGGATATCAAATAAATGCTCAAGGGGCTCATGGAAAGCTGTTCCAGGATTTATCCAATATCCCTGACAATTGTTCTACTTGTGCGCTGAATTATCTCCTTAGTGGGGACAGAGTGTACTTGTACTGTAAATGGACTTTAATCTGAATTGCAAGGATGTAGAATAAAAGCTCAAATGGCTTTCCATACTCAAGTGTTTACAGAAAAAAAAAACATCTTGAACTACTCCTCCTTTCCCTAAAAAACGAGCACATCCACAACCACGCCACTGTTGTGTCAATAATCTCATGCTCTGATGTTTATTTTTATAGCAAGCAAAAACCAGTACTGTGCTTACGTCGGCGGCGGAGGATGTAAGTGTCGTAGCTTTATTTCTATACAGCAACACCGACCAAACATCTGTGTTAGCAAAATATTTTGACGTGGTCAAAAACACTTTCACATCTGCGAAGTTACCTCGAAGCTAATTGCGCTGGCACGCTAAGCTAAGGCGAGGAGCCGGCCACCGTTGGCAGTCTTTAATCTGAAATTGTAGCAAGTGAATGTAAACCATCAGAGTGTTTTGAAATGGTGAGCGTCAGGGGAAGAATATAAAAGAAGCACCCGCAGGCACGGGACCTTAAATCAGAATGAACCCCGCTGGAGTTCTGTAGCACAATAAACGAGTTAGCAGGAGCACAATGTTTCACATTATGTCTTTGAAGTTGGAAAGAAAGAACAAAAGGTAAAGTGAGATTGATGATATTTCACCATCGTAATTATGAAATTAAAAAAAAAATCGGGTTGGGAGGTGAGAAGAAATACTTCAAATATTTCTGTGATTAAAACAAAAATGTCTGGAGAAATTGTGGGTACAAAAGAAATATCAAATATTTTACTTTTTTTGCAGGGTTGGTTAACATTTGGTCTGGGAGAATTTTAAAAATCTTTCTCGGCTGATATTCTGAAATATGTTTCCCTTTATATGTAAATGTTTTTCTTTTGACCCAGTATTTAAAAAAACCCAAGAGAATTTTTGGTGGGTGCTTAGAAAGGAAAACACGACGAAGCAAAAACGTCAAATGTATTTGTCAGCCCCCACACCCTTTATCCTCGAATGAAATTCTGTATTTGTATTTTTTTTTTTTAAACCAAAATATCTATTAAATATTGCCACGATTGTTCTTTAAATGTTAAATTGCGGACAAAAACTTTTCTGGCTTTTTTTTTTTCTTTTCTAAAAATCATCTCAAATCTTTTTCTAATTTCATCCCAGTTTTCAGATATTAGTCCCCTACTAACTCAATTGAGAATGATTGGCTAAGTTAAAAAAAGCTTTAATCTCACTTTACGTTTTATATTAGCTTTAGCGGGTAGCGGGAATGACTCTAATGAAAAGAGTGGGAGAAGGCCATTTTGCATATTTGCTCTTCAAGAGGCCTCAGTATTAAATATAGCGTAGCTGTGTGTTGCAGTGTTGACATGAACAGATTTACTGTCTGATTTTAAGAACTACTTTGATTGAGGATTGTGAGTGAGAAATGAAAAAGATGTTTTACATGTCAAAGTATCACAAAGGAGCGCCTTTTATGTTTTTTTCTTGTTTTGTTTTTTTATACTCCTCCTGGTACACTGAAAGCTGCCTCTGTAACATCCAGATGAGTATTTTTATTTTTGTGAATTATAGATTTGCACTTGAAGCATGTACTGTAAAATGTTTAGTTATTATGCATGTGGATTGTCGAGTTGTTTTGTAGAATGTCGCTTTCGGGCGGGAAGCCTGTCATTCCCCCGCAAAAAAATTCCTTTTCAGGAAATGGCTAAACTTGGTATTTTGGCAATATCAATGCATCACCAAATCAGGTTTCATTATCCAATTGATATTTTAATTTGCTATGACACAAAAAAAATTAGTATGCTATCATTGATCAAAATAGTTGATTTTTTTTTTTTTTTTGTTAAATCTCATTTTATGTACTCTTACGCATTAGAAAACATAAATAAGACTTCTAATGTGAACGCAGAGATGTGACATGCTTGCATCCAAAGCATCAAGCAGAGTGACCTACACCAAAATAACGATACCACGTTGGCACAGTGTTAGGAAGTAAATATCTTCCCCAGTGTAGAGGCTCGTTTTAACATCTCATGTCACCAGAGTAGCAAGGCGGGAGGAGGTAGAAATATTTTGGGGGTTTGAAGGGGATGTTAACAGCAACCCGCCAGGCTTGTCGTTCTCTCTCCCCCATGTTGATTATTGCCGTCTCGTCTGTGCTCCTCTGAACGGGTTCTAACTGGGAAGTATATTCCTTGTGTGTTTCTTGCCTCGATCGCCGTAATTTAATTCAGACGTCTACTAAAGATGACATCACGTCATTGCCGCGCATAACAAATGAAGCGTCTGCATGGCTGAATTTTGACCATCACTACAAATGTCTACTTCATGTTTCAAGTGGGATTACATTTACTGCCCCCCAAAAAAAAAATAAAGTGCCCATATTTGGGGAGACGGGGTTTCCACCCGACAGCGACAAATGCATTAATATAGTATTCAGTTCTCAGGCACAGTGCGATGTTAAAGCGTGTTTGTGTGTGTGTGTGTGTGCGTGTGTGTACCTCCATTTTGTTTTTTTAAACGTGTGCACCTCCATTTTGTTTTTATTTGTATTTGTTCTCACTGGTGTTCTCAAAGCCTTTGTTTTCACTCCAGCTGTGAAGTGTACTTTCACCGCAGGTTGCCACCTTTTGAAGCGTTTCAATACGAACAATAAAGAGGCTTTGCAATGCAGTTTTTACCCTGTGGCGGGCGGTCTTGTGTTTATGAAGCATTGGAGCACCGAGCAGTGGGAAAGAGCCATCCTCTGAATTGTTCAAAATAAGAAATACTCTGCATTCTTGTCATTCACATTTTTCAGAAATATTTTATATATTTTTCTTGTCATGAAAAAAATGTGATGGATACATTTTTAGTTTGAACCAAGATTCATAGAAAATATGAGACATTTTTTTAAATACAATATTTTTTGCAGAAATCTCTTTTTTCTCTTTTTTCTTGACATTTTAAAAAATATATCTTCAGATTTTTTACTTTTCATATTTTCTAATGGAATATTTTTCAGCAAATATTTTATATTCCCAACATTTTCAACTTTTTAAAAATTTTACTTGACAATCCGAAAATATTTTTACAATTGGATTTCTCATGCCCTAAAAATCTCAAATGGTTTTGGAAAATGGTCTTGTTCTGACATTTTTTTCCTGTGATTTTCCAAACTAATTTTCGTAATTTAAAACTAACCTATGCTTTGAAAAAAAACAATTGTTTGAAACCCTAATTTCAAACCATCCCCCCTTTTTTTTTTTAAAAATCTTAACCCTGTCTTGAAATCCATTTGAAACCAACCCCTTATCTGAAAACCTGATTTGAAACCCTAATCCTGACTTGACACTCTTATTAGAATCCACCCAAAGCCTTAGTTTGAGAACCTAATTTGAAACCCTACCCCTAACTTGAAACTCTTAACACCGACTTGCAACCGTAATTTGAAAGAAAGCTCTTCTTTGAAACCACCTGTGAAACAAAATCCTGACAACTAACTAACTTTGAAACCTTAATCGAGACTTGAAACCCTAATTCGAAACCTTCACATGGCGACAAATGATGCATAGTGCAAAAAATAGATATGATCCCCATTTATTTCCCTGTGGAGGACGATGGCAATTTGTGTCCCAGGCTTGCCTCGTTCACTTCAGTGGCAGCAGGGAAAACAACAGCAGAAGATCTTCTTGCAAGGGTTCTCCTTCTTGTACCTGATCGCCTGCCGCACGTGGTTGTCGGCGGCAACCACGTAGTCCCGGGTCCTGCGCACGTTAGCCTCGATGAGATCCGCCTTGCAGCCTTGCTCCTCGGCAAGCAGCGCCACCTGGAAGAAGAGGTCGCGCACGTCCCGTATGCGGCCCTCCAGCTCCTCCAGCTGGCGCCGGCGGCTCTCGATCTCGCTCAGCGCCGAGCGGGCGCCGCGCATGTCCGATGTCATTAGCAGGCCGTTCCCCGCAAACACGTCCCACTTCCCCGTCTCCATCATCTCCTCGATCTGACCCAGGCTCATCTCCATCCCCACGATGGCCGCCTGCCGCTGGATGCGCGTCTTGCAGTTCTCCCGCTGCTCCATCTCGGCGCGGTTGTACTCCGACATGGCCCGGTGGAAGCTCCCGGTCAACGCGGCGTGCTGGCACCGGGCCACCCGGGCCACCACCGAGGAGTCGCCGTGCACCCGGGCCAGCTCCTCGCTCAGCTCTCCCAGCTTCACCAGCCGGCCGATGAGGGCCTCGCCGCGGGTCTTGACGGCGCGCCCCAGAACGTTGGCGTCCCGCTTGATGCTGCTGAAGCGCCGCACTGAGGTGAGGAAGCGACTGCTCTCCTCGCCCAGACGCTTGACGTCCATGGTGAGGAGCAGGAGCTCCTTCCTGGTGGCCTGGACCTCCCTGTGGATGCCCTCTATCTCCTTCTCGCTGCCAAAAAGCGGCACGGTCAACTCATCCTGCAGCGGGACCTCCCACTTGTCCTCCAGGCTGTACTGAACCATCTCTGGTGGCTTGGAGACGGCGGCGGCGCGAAGCTCGCTCAGTCTGTCGATCATCTTGGTTCTGCGTGAGAATTCGGCAAAGAGATTGTTTTCTTGGAAGAGCTGTGCTTCAACAAGGACTAAAGCCGATAGTCCAAGATCTTCAAGACTATTTCTGCTTGCACTGAACCTTTGGACGCCCTCATAAATCACAAATACATATGTGCAGGGTCACGTTGATATAAATATTGGGACATGGATGCAATTCTCATCTTCAAAACTGTTTGGTTGCTTTCACAGTATGTTTTGGGGTATTGTCCATCTGCACTGTGAAGCGCTGCGCAACGAGTCCTGAAGCATTTGGCTGGACATGAGCTGATATTATCCGAAAAAAAAAAATCAACCCACATCAATCAATACAAGGCGATCAGTTCCAGTGGGAGCCATCTTGAAAATCAGCAGTTCAAGCCATCTTGTTCATTTCATTTGAAATCTAATGCGGTGTTGTTTATGAGACAAAGAGATGAGAATTGTGCCCATGTCCCAATATTTATGGCCCTGACTGTGAAACTGTTTACTTGGGACATCATGTCATTTACGACATGTTGAATAAAGACAGAAATGTGACTTCACGCAAATGGAGCAAGTTGGGTAGGAATGGCCATTATTGTGTATATTTGGGGTCTTGTTCGTTCATGCATGTTGTAAACATTTCTGCACAGCACACCGGTTGTTTCCGGTGACAAATGCTGAGTAATTGTGAGCATGGGTTGCAAAGGAAACTGACGTCTTATTTGATGACTTGATTACTAAACGGGACTTCCTCAATCGACTGCTCATACTATTTATTCCATCATTCCATTATCCGGGTTTTAAATCACTAATTCTGTCTTGAAACGCTCACCCTTATCTGCAGCCCCAACGTGAAACGATAACCCCATTTTGCAACCCCTGATGCCTCGTTTTGCGTTTTTAGATTATTTTCTAAAATTGTGACGTCATCTGACAGAAGTAGAAATAAGAATTAGCATTACTGTTATTATGACTTAGGTCACCTGGTGTAAATCGAAACCAAAATTTCTATCTATCGATCTATTTATCCATCCATCTTCCTCTATCGTACATACGGTATATTTCTGCCCCTCTGTCTCTCTCTTTTCTCGAGCTATCTCTCTATCCATCGTGTATATAAGTTTCTATGTATCTTCTGTACATTTCTGTTGTCGATATATCGACTTTTACCGACTTTTTGCATCAACTGTATATGTTATCGATCCGTGTGTAATTTTCTAGTTTCGTTATTTATCATCCATCCATGATATATCGTATATTTCTATGTTACGTATCTTTCCACTGGTTATCTATCCCTCTCTCTCAATTTACCAATCGTGTATATTTTTGTCTTATCTATCCATTTATAGCTATCAAATATATATATATATATATATTTACCATAAATTTCTAACTTTACCTCCTGTATCGATCGTAAATGTCCACCTTTCTCTCTCCGGTCTGAGTAATAAGTAGTAGAAAGTAGAGGAGTCTTTTTTTTTAAAGCAGATTCTGATTTCAATGACAATAAAAACGACTTCTAATGGCTTACCTTGTTCTCAGCAGCAAGTCACTCGGCGTTGGTTTCCTCTTTTTGTAAATTCCGTTAGACGCGAGCGCGTTTCAACAGTGATGCGGAAGATGAACCCAGACTTTATTTTTAGAAAATACAACACTTTGTAGACAGCGGCGGTTGTTTGAAAGTGCTCGATAAATGCAGTTGAGTCCGAGTCTTGGTGCTTTAGTTGAAACATGCCATTGCATTCCCCTGCGACGAATTAAACGGCAACCGGACGTGTCATCACCATCGAATCGCATCACTGAAAAAAATCAATATTTTCTTTTAAAGGGAAAAAAAGTTGAACTTGTCTTCTTTTGACAACCGGCAGGGGGAGACAAACCCTGCTTGATTCACACTCAATGGCCGCCTCATTAGGTACAATCTAAAGATTCGATTAACGCGATCAACTAAACGATAACAAAAAGATACTGTACAGAACACCCGTGTTGATAAGACGGTTTTAATTTAGGATTGGGGTATCGAGTAGGGGATTTGAGATGAGTAGGGTTTCAAGCTTGGATGAGGGTTTCCTAGTCTGGTTTGGAGCAATGGTTATGCTTTGAAATGTGTGTTTCAAGCCTGGGTTCGAATTCTAAGTGTAAACTTTTCAAATTAAGGTTTCGGGTTTTGAACAAGAGTTGGGCTTTCAATGTCCAATTAGGGTTTTGAGTCACGGAATTTTTCTTGAAGCCAGGCTTGCGAGGCCAAGTGATTAGTACGTTAATAAATGCAACTGAAGTCGATAAATAAAGTCTTTCATTTTACTTCGTGGTCATTTGCCTTTATCCTAGCGTAAGACAAAACAATGTTGAATAAATCGGATATAGTTTATTGTAATACAGATTAATTTATTGCTTGTTTGTGGGGGAAAAATAATCACGTTGAAAATCGCTAAATTGAATGAAGACAAATTACAATTATTTTTCACAATTGTTTATCCCAACCCCAAGTCGACTTCTATCATGAGCAAACAAAAACGTCTCAAGCCAAAGATCCAGCAAGTCTTTCCAAGGGGCACGACTGAGTTTTTTTTTTCCTTCTATGCTCGAGCCTCCCGAATACAAATATTTTCACCAGTCTGCAAAACGGCAATTTGTAATAAATCCGGTTTTCCTGCATTTGTTTGAGGATTATTTGGAGAACTTGCTGTGGTATGTTGACACTGCTTGCAAATACCTCGCAGCAAATTTTTTTTTTGGGTGTATCAGACGCAAGAAAACTTCACTACAGTATTACCTTGTTTCTGTACCTGCGTTGAGTTCATTGGCGGTTCCATATTGTTTTGAATGTTCATGAAAATCATTTTTTAAAATGCCGAATTAGCTTTGATATGCAGAAAAATGCAAAAATGAGGACTGCCGAAGAACACCTTCCATGTTTCCAAAAACACGTGCTAAAATGCTTTAAAAAAATTGTTGATGTGGACAGAAATAGAAACATGAGGTTTGTTGTCTTGACTGTCTTTTGAGTTTTAGGAAAGCAGTCTCACATCGCCTGTGACATCCCCCAAAAACAAACATGATATTGGAGGCATGTCCAACAAAATATGAGTCAGACAAATTTCGTTTCCTGTGATAATCACAAAAACCTTGTGTTGAAGACTAAAATTTGAGTAAGGAGTTGCTCAACGTACAAACAACACACACATTGACATAATCTCGCAAATGTGTTTATTTTCCTCTGTCATAACTCAATATTACATTGAGGTTATGAAACCCAAACTTGAATCGTCATATTTCATACGGTAGTCAAAGATACTGTACTAACCCGTTACAATATTTAAGTACCATATTTTCCGCACGATAAGGCACTTCGGAGTATAAGGCGCCCCCGCATTATAAGGTGCGTAGAATAGAAGCTACAGTTGTGGCTGCGGTTACGTTATGCATCCACCAGATGGAGCTACGCTGACAGAACATTGATCCATATAGAAGGCGCATCGGCTTATAAAGGCGCAGTGTCAGCTTTTCAGAAAATGGAATGTTTTAGGTGCGCCTTATAGTGCGGAAAATACGGTAATTGGGGCTTTGCATTCTTGAGTGTTTCGATCCTCGTTGGCGTTTCTTTTTCATCAGCGGCTGACTTGGTAGACGGGATCGCCCACCTGGATCACGCCAGGCTTCTCCACGCTAAGCAGCTGCCCAAACAGCGGCGCCGACTTGTAGATGTGCTTCTCTTCGGGTTTGCACATTCGGTAGCTGCATGGCCAACACCAGACAAACATTGCAACCCCACAGCCCCCCGCCCCAAAAAGAAACAAAAAAAACCCACCAACACCAACAAAAAAGAAACAAACCAAAAAACTTTAGGTGCGCATAAGGATTTTTTTTCCCGACTTTGACGCTCTTGGAGATTGTCCAAACTGTCCAAATATGAAATAGACTCAATGTGTTATGTACACTCGCCAATTCTAAAAATGTCCAATATGAATATTGAATATTTAGGAAGTATATTGAACTTATAATGATTTATTGACACCCCTCTAATTCTTTTTAAATTTTTTTCATTATTGAATAGACTTTTTTTTTTTTTTAATTGTATTCAATTTGTATTGTCGATTATATGATGGACTTTTGGACTTACTTGATGACACGTGTATTTAATTAATGGCCTTCCTTTTAATAATGACTTCTTCATTGATATAAGTGCCAACTTTTAGTGATGCGACAGTTCCATACCTCTTCAGTATTTCAAGAGGCTCCTTTCTGCTGCTGATTCCAGTTTCGGGGTCCACCATGGTGAAAATGCACCTGGCGAGACGACAAAGTTTGCAGGTATGCTTTCATCCATCCATCCATCCATTTTCGGATCCGCTTTATCCTCACACGGGTCGCGGGGGGTGCTGGAGCCTATCCCAGCTGTCTTCGGGCAGTAGGCGGGGGACACCCTGAACAGGTTGCCAGCCAATCGCAAGGCACACAAAGACGAACAACCATCCGCGCTCACACTCGTACCGACGGACAATGTCGAGTGTTCAATCAGACTCCCATGCATGTTTTTGGAATGTAGGAGGAAACCGGCGTACCCGGAGAAAACCCATGCAGGCACGGGGGGAACATGCAAAGGCCACACAGGAAGGACTGAGTCCAGAATCGAACCCTGCACCTCTGTATTATGAGGCGGACGTGCTAACCAGTCGATCACTGTGCTACGCAGGTCAACTTAGATTTTAAAATATAATCAGCCTATTAATCATTTTTATCAGATTTTTTTTTTCTGACAAATATCAGAATAAATCCAAAGTGGCATGCAAAAATGCCATAAATGGGCTAACAAAACTAGCATTGATGTCGCTATAGCAACAACACTTTACGCAACAGATATTTGAACAAATAGTGCTGCAACACATGTAGACAGACAGACTAAAATCAAAATTACATTTGTTCACCCCCCCAGAAGCAAAAAAAACAACTTTACCTCCCGCATGACATCACCCGCCGCAGACGAACGCTGCCAATCTGGATCTCTTCCCATGAATCCTGTGCGCGCACACCCACACAAGGGGGGGAAAAAAAAGCATGATGCCAGTTGAGTCGTGAGTAAAATTAGTCCTCCGCCTCCGTAGCACATGACGACTTTTTCCTATCCCGAGACAGACGGAGACTCGTCGTACTTCGGCAAACGCCTCGCAGTCACCGATGACGATGTTGGGCCGGAAGCGCTCCGCCGTCAGGTCCTTGTTCATCTTGTCGCTCAGGTCCTTGATAGATGCCTCGGAGAGCAGCATGACCGGACCGCTGTCAGGATACGCCACTTTCTGGACCACACCCATGAAAACATATGGACAAATTCGGAGGGTTCATTGCACATTCCTAATCATGTCTTGGATTTTCACTCCCCCCAAAAAATGTATATCAGGTTTATCTTTTAGATTTACAAAAACAGTTTTTCCCAAGAAGACATACGTGGGAATTTGCTGAAGAAGTCGGATGTTTCCGAAAAGGATTGCTAATCGTACACAATGTTTTGACAAAAACACTTTAGGTTCGGAAAAGATTCAAAATCGTCTTTGAGGGTGAAATATCGCAGTAATTTCAGTCCTGTCAACTGACGTCATTCGGGAAGTAGGCAGATTCTGAGTCCGCCGGCCTCCTGGCCCTCATGTGGGGTTCAAATTGCACCAGGCGGTAGGTCTTCTTCGCCTTCAGATAGCGGACCAACCAACGGGACGCTTCGTCGCCGCAGTCACGCCCCGGGATGCCGGCACCGAACACTCTACCATCACCAAAAAAAAAAAAAACAAAGGCGTTGCATGGACGAACAAGATGTCGGTGGCATTTTAAGAATGAGCGCCGCACCTGCAGTCCATTAAAGTGTTGTTGGGCTGCTTGACGGGGAAACGCAGCTCGGCCATGTCGGGCCCGTTCAGGATAACGTCACCTCCCTCGCATGTCAAAGACACCAGAACCAGATGAGGTTCCTGGCGGCCCGTCACCATGTGGCCGTCCTCCGTCACCACCATCCAGTGGCTGCAGGTACAACACTGCTAATCGTCTTTTTGATGTTCGTGAAAACATGTATCTTCATCTTTGATGAAGACTCTCTTTGATATTTAGAAAAACACACAGCATTAGTTCATTGAATACTCTGCTTTGTCTTGGATGTTTATGTTTTGCTACTTTTTGATAAGTCACTGAATGGTTTCGGCCCTGAAGACATTCAAGAGATGCAAAGTTAATATAAATGCTCCTTACAAAGTGTTTGAAGGAAACCACAAAATAACCACATCTTGGGTTTTTTGGGTGGGTTTTTTTTTGCTCTCTTGTATAAAAATTACCATTCAAAGATGGCACAAAACTGTCAAACAATGAAGCAAAATTAAGTGCAAGAACTAATTTTATGACATTTTTTTTCGCAAATATCAACTCACCCCAAATGTTAATATTATTGAGGTAGCATGTTTTTTTCTGCATATCATTCCAAATTTGCCCCAAAATTGTGAAGCCAACTCACGTTGTAGTGTAAGACCCAGTGGAAGCGAACAAAGACATGGCTCTCATCTAGCGGTTATAATATTAGTGATATTACAACTACAGTCGAAACCGGCATATTTGGAGTTTGGCACCAGCAGATTCGTACACTGACAAAAAAATGGTGTGTTGAATTTACTCAATTTTATTTTGTCAAGTGGTTGGATGAAATAAAATAATCAAGGTCTAGATGCTTGTTTTAAGTCAACGATACAGTATATCCACTTCAAAATATAGATTAAAAAAAAAAGATCATTCTGTTGTGTGCAGCCACTTGACAAAATAAAATCGAGTAACTTCAATGCATCATATTTTTCAGTGTATATTCACTTTGTTCCCTTTTTTTGCCCAGGTTTTTTTCTCATCGTGTTCCATGGACAACATATACTGAAT